CCTGGGGCAGAGGGCAGCATCAGCATGGCAGTTGGCCTTTCTTCATAGCATCTGAATTCTTTCCTGAGGCCTGGGAAGGAGTGGTATGAATCTGGTGTAGAAGAGTGCCTGGGTTTTATTCTCAGTCCTTGTCTGACAGATATTTGAGCTCCAGGTACTTTCTTTCCCCCTGACCCAGAATGCAGGTGAGGAAGAGACAGGTGGTGAGGATGGCGTGGTGAGCAGAGTGCTGACAAAATCTTACCACCCCACCCTAGCACCTAGTATAGTTATAGTGGTGTCTGGCACATAGCAGGTGCTCCCCAAGAATTTGATAGGACCCTGGCTGGCTACTTGAGGCTATTTCATATACCCACCCTACAACACTGGTTTTGAAAAGTATCCCAGGTAAGTGTGGAGGATACTCAGCAGACTGGAGGCCAAGCCCAGTGCCCAGTTTTGGTTTTGCACCTCCCTCCCAGGGTCATATACTCCTCAGTGTGATGGTAGCTCTACAGTCCAACTTGGGTGTGGGGTTATGACCCTCTTTGTAGTTGCTTTATTTTAGGAGGCATAGAGGTGAAAGAAGAGGTACAGCCTAAGGACCCTGCCCTCCTTCTACTCGCAGGCACCCAGGGCCAGCATGAATATGTGGTAAAGATGTTAGACATGGCGTGGCTACTCTCTTGCTATTTGCTGTCTGTGTCCCTGCCTGCCCTTGGGAGTTCACAGAGGGACAGGTTGGGAAGCGTTGTCTCTTCCTTCTCTTCTGCCCACTGCCACACAACTTCAGTTTAGCTCTTAGGGGCATTCTCCTAACCCATGGACCTGCTGTCTTAACCTTTTCACTGTGGCAGCAGTGAGGAAGACTGGCCACCAGCTGGTGCCATGTAACAGGATGGATTGAAGAGTGGGGTGAATTGTAGCTTTTCTTTTTTTTATTGAGAGATAGCATATATATGGGAAAGTACCTGCATTTTAAGTGTTCTGCCAATTGAATTTTTTTTGTGTGTGTGTATACACGTACCTGTGTAAATATCACTCCAGTCAATACCTAGGAGCATTTTCAGTACCTTGTGTCTTTCTCCCAGCCAACTACCCTGCCCCGCCAAAACAAAACATCTCTCTGACTTCTGACCTTTATCCACATGGATTGCTGTTGCCTGCTTTTGAAATGGTGGGCGCTTTTCCTTGTCTGGTGAGGAATCGCATCCTGAGCTCAGTAGAGAAAACATGAGAGAGACTGAGGTTGACCTTTATATGCAGTCCTATTGACCCTAGAATTCACAAGTGGCCTTTCTCTGTGTCCATCTGGGACTGGCAGGTGGAGTGGGGACATGAATTCACCATAATAGGGGTCTCTGTAGTGGTGGCATAGGTTGACATTATTTTTAAGATCTCATGTGGCACTGTGGGCTAATGCGTCAGACTGCAAAGTCATTTGAACTTGAAGGTCGGTGGTTCAAACTCACCAGCTGCTCCTTGGAAACCCTATACAGGGTCTCTGTGGGTCGGAATCGACTTGACGGTACTTAACAACAACTTGCTACCAGAACTTTATACTGACTGTGGAGGCCCAGGGGAATGGTTGCCTAGGATACTGAGGGAGCCACCATACTCTACCCTCTATATTCCTTGTCTTTTCTGCCCTAAGTCTGGTTCAAGAGCTTGTTGGTGGCAAGGATCCTTTAACCTTAAACTTCAACTGTCATTTACCTATCAAAAACTCTTTCTTCCCCTCTGCTTGGAAATTGGCCTGGGGAGTAGGGCTCCTGTTTGAGTAGGCCCAAGGCCTGGTGGGTAAAGGGAGCAACTAGTAGAGTGAAGGTGGACTTCTCATCCATGTTTTCCTGAACTGAGCTAGCTCTTTGTGGCCTAGTGTCTCCTGCCTGCCCTTCCGATTTCTGACCATCACTGCCACCATGATGTAGAGGGGAAGACCCCTTACCCCAAGCTGGATCAGAGTGACAAGCAAAGCTTTAGACCATGTTTCCTGGATCCTGGTATCTTTGTCACTGCTAGATCTAGGTGATCCCCAAGTCTGGTCTGTCCTCAGCATGGGCCTTCTAACCCTGGGTATCTGATCAGTTTTTCCAGGTCTGGCTTCTCTGGTGGGGCCACAGGCCAGGGGTGGAGACCTCAGGATGGCCCGTTTATGATCCTGGCTTGGGCGGCTCCCTACTTACAGGAAACCCCACCATTTCAACAAGAGGAATTTGGGCTACGTCATTCCCAGCTTCCTGCCTGGGCTGCCGGAGGTAGCTGACAGGCAGACCCCTGGCCCAGTAGGGCTTGGGATTGGGGGAAGGGAGCTTTCCATGCCTGGGGAAGATCAATGGTTGGGTAAAGTTAACACAAAAGTGTGCCTGAGAGCCACCCCTTTTGGCATAGTTCTTGGACCCATTTCCTTGTGGGCCCCTGGAATCAACCCCTCCCCGTCCTAGGGAAGTTGTATGGTGGTCACCTTATCCATGCCTGTGCTCCCACCATAGCCCATTCCTTGAGGGGACGTTCTCTGCCCTTCATGGTAGCCTCTTCTGGTCCCAAGTCCTTCCTCAGCTTCAGCTGAGCTCACCCTGTTTTATAACATCTCCCTAAAGGTCTAGACCCATAGAGCTTTCATTTCCAGTTTCCACACCTCATGGCTAGGGGCACTTGCTCAGGCTGGGCACCTGACTCAGTCCCCTCACAGTTCTCCTGAGAACTTTCATGGAAGCCCTTGAGGGAAAGGATTGAGAACCACCTTCTGGTTGGAAGAGGCTCCCATCATTCCAAGCCTGTCCCTCTTCTAAGGGAGCCCACTTCTGGATTCCCTGAGTGGCTTTGGGGCATAGCAGAGAGCCAACCTCCACCCCCAACACCCCCCCCCCCCCCCGCCGCAAAGACAGAGCTTCCTGGGCAGAGCAGAGTGTCCTGGGAGACTGCTCCCTGCCCCCACTCTCCACAGCACACAATGGCTGCTTTCTCCCTGTGACCTTTTGGCTGCCTGAGTTGTGTGCAGCTGTCTCCTCCCCCTCTCCCGAAGGGCCTGGGATGGGTGGCATCTCCCCTACCCTCCTCCCCTACCCTCGAGAAGAACCCCAGGAGCCCCCACCCAGACCTGACCCCCTTGTTTCCAAAGTTCATTTCTCCCCAAGGGACTCACTTATCTGGGACTGCTGGGCAGAGGCAGAGGAACAGCAAGTGTGGACATGGTATGGTCTCTGCTGTTGAAGTGTGGAGGTCCACATCCCAGCAGTCTCATTCATTAGCTGTGTGACCTTGAGGAAGCCACACAACCTCTCTGAGCCATTGTTTCCTCAGCTGGAAAGCAGGGAGAACATTTCTGACCTTGCCTTGCAGTTGTAAGAAGCATCACATGTAATGCACCCAGCTGGTATATAGTATGTGCTCAATAAATGGTGGTTCCTTTGCTTCCTCTGTTCTCCTTAAGAGGGTCCTAAGTTTACTCCATCAATGATGGTGGCAAGAGACCTGAGAAGGGAGGGGTTCCTTGCATGCCAGGGGACAAGAGCAGAGGCAGGAGCCAGTGGACGGGGGTGGTGGACCAGTGATTCCAACAGAAGCTTACGTGTGGGTCACCAAGTTGAGTGCTCAGGGATGTCGGACCTCTGGTTCAGCATCCCCTAGTGGACTCCTGCCTTCCTGGAAAAGGGCTGTGGGGCTGGCAAGATGGAAAGCAGTGATCGTTGGGTGGCCCTGAGGGCTGCACATCTCCAGAGGGACAAAATGTGTAGGGAAAGGCACAGTGGTTTTGTGTGTGTATGTGTGTTTTGTTTTTTAAATTGGTAAAAGTTCCTCAGGTGGTGTAAATGGTCTGCATTCAACTACTAATGGAAAGGTTGATGGTTCAAATCTACCCCATGGTAAGAAAGGCTTGGTTGCCTGTGTCCATAAGATTATAACCAGGAAAACTCGACGGAGCACAGTTCTGTTCTGTAACACATGAATCCTAATAGATTCAGTGGCGACAGACTTTGTTTTTGGAAGCCAGATGGAGGAGTCCTTGGATGGTACATGCTTGATTGCTAGCTCAGAGGCACCTTAGCAGAAAGGCCTGGTGATGATCTCCCTCTGAAAAATCAGCCATTGAAAACTTAAGAAACAAGAACCCTGATCAAAAGGAAGGAAATGCAGAACCGAATTTTGAATTCTCGTGGACTCCAGACTTTCTGGAGCCATAGGACCTGGATGAAACTTGCCCTGAGACAATTTTTAAAATTTTAACCAAAAATATCCCCTGAAGTCCCCAAACACTAGTCTAGCTTAACTAGTACAAAGAAGAAAAATATATACCTGCTTTGAGCAATGCTCTTTTAAGAACTATATGGAATCAGGGAACGTGGTAAGATAAGCTCTGGGCTATGAGCTATAATGTTGGCGATTCGAGCCTACCAGCCCCTCTGTGGGAGAAAGGTGAGGTTTTCTGCTCCCACAAAGCACTACAGCCTTCGAAACCCTTTACACGGTCACTATGAGTCAGAACCAATGTGATGACACTTAACAACCACAGTATGGTATCAAAGTGACAACAGCAACTCAAAAGATTAGATAGGAACCTTAGGGAGCAGTGAGTTTGTGTTACTGCAAGAGAAAAAACTTACAAATAGGTTGAGATTGGTCACACCATTCGGAGAATGTAATCAATGTCACTGAATTGTACAAGGGGGCTTCCAAAATTCACAGAAACATTCTATTATCTTTCCATTTCATTTTTTCCCATGAACTTTTTGAGGCTCCATCATACATGTAGAAGTGGTTGAATTGGTGTACATTCTGCTGTGTATATTCTCAACAACAGCAAAATAAAAACACAGAAAAGAGTACTTGCTGGAAACCCGTTCTACTCTGACACACAAGATGAAGTTGCCTTATGAGGTAACTGGCAGTCTGAATGTACTGTGCACCTCGTAGACTGTTGGGATTGAATAAGTGTGTTTGAAGTCCAGGCGGGTGTTCAGGAGCTGATATCTCCCTGTCTCCTGGCTATGGCTGACCTTGTCCCAACCCTGGCAGACCCTGGCTGGGCCTCCATCAGCAGGGGTGTGCTGGTCTGTGACGAATGCTGCAGTGTGCACCGGAGCCTGGGACGTCACATCTCCATCGTCAAGCACCTTCGCCACAGCGCCTGGCCTCCCACACTGCTGCAGGTACGGAGTGGGACTATGTCCTTTTTCTTTTCTTGCACATTGAGGGTGCTGAGTTCAGGCCCGTTTCCTAACACCTGTGAATCATAAGATCGGCAGTTCAAACCCACCAGCTGTTCCTTGGAAATCCTATACAGGGTTGCTATGAGTCAGGACTGACTCGATGGCACTTAACAACATATATGTTGTTCTTGTTGTTAAGTATGAGTCAGTTCCAACCCATAGTGACTCTGCACAGGGTTTCCAAGACTATAAATCTTTATGGGAGCAGAAAGCTTTATCTTTCTCCTGCGGAATGGCTGGTAGTTTCGAACTGCTGACCCTGAGGTTAGCAGCCCGATTCGTAACCACTACGCTACCAGAGCTCCGTAACAACATATACACCTAGGCTAAAATCTGCAGCTTCCAGTGGTAACATCCTCGAGGGCAGAGCCTATCCCTGGTCCTTTTGACCCATCCGTTTCCCCCTACAGAGAGGAGTCTTCCAGTACTGGAGGCATCCAGAGCTCTCACCTCAGTGCTTTCAACACTGAGCCAGGTGCTTAACCTCTCTGAGCTTTATCATGCTCTTCATGTGACCTGGAGCGCTAGATAGGCTTCGTACCCTTGGTGACTACATGGAGGTGATGCTGCCAGGCACACAGTAGGTCCCCCTCAGTCTTGTGTCCAGCCATGCTGGGGCACAGTAGGCATTCGGGGTGCTTCTCCCAGAGCCGAGCACACAGTGGACAGTCTCTCACTTGGCATCTCTCCCCTGCAGATGGTGCACACACTTGCCAGCAATGGGGCCAACTCCATCTGGGAGCACTCTCTGTTGGACCCTGCACAAGTGCAGAGTGGCCGGCGCAAAGCTAACCCCCAAGACAAAGTCCAGTGAGTAGGGTTGCAGGGGTCATGGCCAGGGGCTGCACAGACTGGGCCTGGGAGGTGGCTGAGTGGCTACCCTCTCCCACTTTGCTCCCCATTTCTTCCTGTGTGCCCCATGCAGCCCCATCAAGTCTGAATTCATCAGGGCCAAGTACCAGATGCTGGCATTTGTGCACAAGCTTCCCTGCCGGGATGATGATGGGGTCACTGCCAAAGACCTTAGCAAGGTTTGAGGGGTCCCATGATGGAGCTGGGTGGGCATCTCCTCTTCCCATCCACTACACCTTGGTTTCTTCTTGGTTACCTCTGAACCTGAGGCCCATCTCTGCCACTCAAGCCATGAAAACTTGAGATGATTGCTTGGCCTTGCAGAGCCTTAGTTTCCTCATCTGTACAATGGAACTAGAGGAACAGCATCTCTGTTATAGGCAGTATCTGTTCCAAGTAGAGCACGTAGCACATGGCAGATGGTGGCTGGCTGCGATTAGTGCCTGGCATTATTTTCCAGTGGGAAGCCCTCTGCCATCCTGGACACAGCCAGATTTCACTTGGGCCCTTCGGAGCTTTGAGGGCCCTAGGAGTTTCCTGGTCCAGGGCAGTTTGGGGAAGGCCCTTTGCATATTTGTGGCACACTCTGCTTCTCACAGCAACTGCACTCCAGTGTGAGGACAGGCAACTTAGAGACATGTCTGCGCTTGCTGTCCCTGGGCGCCCAGGCTAACTTCTTCCATCCGGAAAAGGGTACCACCCCTCTGCACGTGGCTGCCAAAGCAGGGCAGACATTGCAGGCCGAGCTGCTTGTGGTGTACGGTGCTGACCCTGGCTCCCCTGACGTTAACGGCCGCACACCCATTGACTATGCCAGGTGAGGGGGAGCGGAAGGTAAGGCTTGGAGTGGGCAGGGCAGATAGACCACTGCTCTGGGGCTGAGCCATGCCCTTCCCCACAGGCAGGCGGGACACCATGAGCTGGCGGAGAGGCTAGTCGAATGTCAGTATGAGCTCACTGACCGGTTGGCCTTCTACCTGTGTGGACGCAAGCCGGGTGAGCAGAGTGCAGAGTGCGGGGGCAGACAGGTGGGACCCAGACACACCCAGCAGCAGGTGCCATGGTGACAAAGCTGGCTGGGGAACAGTGTTGCCAGGCAACCAGCTCCTGTGAAATTGCTGCAGGCGCTAGGCTGCAGCACTATTGGGGCTCAGGGGTGGGGGTGGGCATAACTTCCAGTCAGCACCCAGGGTTCCTCCTCCATTTCCCACTGACACTTCAGGGTGCCAAGCCCTGCTCATGGCAATGAGGTGGGCTCCCAGCTGCTAAGACCACCCAACACCATTGACTTGGCAATTTTATTTTTGTTCAGATCACAAGAATGGGCATTACATCATCCCACAGATGGCTGACAGGTAAGTGCCCACCTGATGCCCCTTCCCAGAGGCAGCTGGATGCCACGCTGAGTACCTTGCACCCAGAGCCTTATCCTTTCCAGGCTTCAGGAGCTTGGGTCCCCATTGCTTAGTCCTCAGGGGTACAAGTCTTTTGACAGCCCAGTCATCACTCTCATCTTGGGCCCCAAAGCGGGTAGAAATTCCATCTCAGTCCAGCGTCTGCTCTACCTGAGTCCCCTCCATGGCAAGTAGGTGGAGAGTCTGGGTGCAAGGAAAGACTTCTGCACAGGGAGGGTGCAGCACTGGGCTCTGCGCACTGACATGGCCTCTGCTCTGTAGACAAGCATCTATGAAAAGAGTCAGCTAACTTGGGGACTTGTCACCAGCCCTCTGTGGGTTGTGCTGCATTAGGTAGTAGTTGGGGAGATAGGGGGCCGGATGAGGTGCTTCTGCCTCTAATCTGAGAGGTACCCAGATAACTGTGGGCCCTCAGCTAGTCAGCTAGCTCACAAAGTGGATGGTAGCGCCACCTGGTGGTCACTTCTGTGATGGTAGCAGCTTCATGCCAGGCTCTCTTGCCACCAAGGACCCACCCAGGTAGCTGGGGATGGTCAGGCCTGGGTACCTCATATCCCTAAACCCAAGATCTCTTCTGTTCTGAGACTCTAAAACTTCTTTCTACTTCTTGGGTCTGGTTCTACCTGGGGTGTGTATGTGTGTGGGGGGGTGCTGCATTCAATGAAATGTATTAAGGGATCATTTTCCCAGTGCCAGCTACTGTGCTGGGCATTGAAGACAGACACACACAGACATGGCCCCTGCCCTGGAGGAGCTCCAAGTCAGAGCAGAAGGCAGCCTAGTCAGCAGCTAGAGAAGCAAAGACACAGATGTTGGGAACACTATGCAGGAACTGCTGTGGGCAATCCGGAGCCATATGCTCCAGGCATAACCTAGGGAGGGAATCTCAGTAGCAGTCAGGAGTGTGGTGGACTCTGGGCATCTAGACAAAAGCCACTCCTTCTGAGCACAGATGCATGTTAGTTGTGTGACCCCAGCTCATTCCTTGACCTCCCTGAGCCTCGCCATGGGAATGAACGTACCTGCTCTTTGAGGCTGTTGAAAAGATTAAATACAATTATGTTCACAAAACACTTGGCATGTTCTTTTAAGTGAGCTTTTGATTGAAGTATGCCGTTGTAGTTGCTATGAGTTTCAACTCATGTGTATAGGGTTTCCAAGGGTTTGAACTGGCAACCTTGCTTATTGAACCATGCCACACCAGGGCTCCAAGGTATGCCATGTTGTTGTTAAGTTCCATTGAGTCAATTCCGACACATAGCGACCTTGTATCGGATTTCCAAGGAGCGGCTGCTGAGTTTGAACCATGGCCTTGCGGTTCGAGCCAACCTTGTGGTCCAGTGCTTACCCTATAGCACCACACCTGCTATTAAAGCGTTTGAAAGCAAGGATTAGTGTAGTCGATTATGACAGTTTAAGATCACCCTAGCTGTGTGGAGGAAGCCTTGTGGGTACAAGGCTGGGAGTAGGATTAGGAAAGTGATGAAAAGCCCAGGCAAGAGGAGATGATGGCAGATCATGAGACGGACATAGAGCTGAGTGCACAGAAAGCATCCGGGAACTCCGAGGTGTGGACTGCCCCTTGTGCTAGGGGAAAGGTGGCTCTATGAATGAGGAGGGGCAGGCTTGGGGAAAGGTGGGCTTAGTTTTGTAACTGGGTGTCTGGTGTGTGAATGAAGATGGGTTTGAGCTTGGCACGGGAAGGCGTGTGCTGCCCTGCTCCCGGGTAATTGCTGCCTCTATCCTGTTCTTCCTTCTGCTGCCTTCCTCTGGACTAGATCTCGGCAAAAGTGCATGTCTCAGAGGTATAGCCTGCCTGCCCATGGGGCGGGCTTTGGAGGTCGGGTGGGGCAGGGAGGTGTGTGGTGTACGGCATCTGGGGTGTTGTTTCCCTGGGGTTCCTGCATGTTCGGGAGATCATTGGCAGGAGCCAGGCCAACTCTCAGGTCTGCCTTTCTCTCTCTCCACTCCTATCTCCCTCCTCCATCCACAGCCTGGACCTCTCCGAGTTGGCCAAAGCTGCCAAGAAGAAGCTGCAGGCAGTGAGTCTCCTCAGAGCTGCCCCTACCCCCTGGACCTGCTCCCCAGTCCTCATGGCTTGTCCGCGATGCCTTCTAGCCTGGTGCCTGGTTCTCCCTCTAGCCGCCTTACTCTGGCCTCCCATCTCTTCTTCTCAATCTTGACACCTCCTTGTTTTCAGCCCTGGTTCTTCCCCTAAAGTGTTAGGGCTCCCAGGCCCTCCCTCCACCTTTGACCTATAGGGAATTAGCTGGTCCTTCTGTCTTCTCCCAGTGTGGAGCATGGAAGATAGATAGATTCCCCTACTCCAGTTTCTGGTTCTGAGATTGGGGTTTTGATGGCACAAAGTGTACAAGCCAATCCCCGTGTCTTAGACATCCTAGTGAGCTGGCCTTATTGGCACAGGTTGGAGAGGGGTTGATCTCAGAGCGCCCCACTCTGTCTCCAGCTCAGCAATCGGCTTTTTGAGGAACTCGCCATGGATGTATACGACGAGGTGGATCGAAGAGAAAATGACGCGGGTGAGCCAGGAGGTCATAGGAGGCTTTTGGGGGTGGCATGACAGTGCCCACCCAGCCAGGGATGGAGGAGGGTGCCCGGGTGTGGGGCCTGCAGGTAAGACCTTACCAGCTGTGGCTCTGCCTAGGCAATGGCCCCAGCCAGGCAGAGTGCTGAACTGGGGCAACCTGCCCCTCACTCCCATCTCAGCTCCAGCTGCCCTCCTACTTTGATTTTTTCCCCCAAGTCCTGCTCCACCCCCTACACCCCAGCTAAAGCCAGATTCCAGGCCAAACTCTAGTCAGGGTGGTGGAAGGGAGTCGCTTTGGTCTGCACCAGTCCCAGCCAGGCTTGCTCATTCTCATCCTGACACAGCTGAGCTTTTAGCTTGGCTTGCCCTAAGACCACCCTGGTTTTGAATTCTCACATTTTGTGGGAGCTTGGAAGGCTCTCCTCACCCTGTGGGTGCTTCTCTCTGCCCCTCCCTACAGTGTGGTTGGCGACCCAGAACCACAGCTCCCTGGTGACAGAGCGCAGTGCTGTACCCTTCCTGCCTGTGAACCCTGAGTACTCAGCCACGCGCAATCAGGTGACGGGCTGTGGGGACCATCAACGACTGGCCTTGCCCCCCTGCTGCTGTGCTCTGGGGGCTGGCTCCAGTCTCGCTCCTTCGCCTCTGCCAGGCCTCTCTCAGGGCCCAGCTGGCAGGGGAATTGGGACGGAGGGAGAGGCTGTTCTTTTGAGCACATGGTGAACAGCCCTGCTCCCCAAATCTGTATCTCACCCTACCCCCTGGCCGGGTAAATACTTCTGAATTGCCTTCCTGCTTTGTCCCCACCCTGTGTGTCAGCTGCAAGGAGCCCTTTCATGTCAGCTTGCCCCTTTCTGTCTCGTAGGGGAGACAGAAGTTGGCCCGCTTTAATGCTCGAGAGTTTGCCACTCTAATCATCGACATTCTCAGTGAGGCCAAGCGGAGACAGCAGGGCAAGAGCCTGAGCAGTCCCTCAGGTGGGAGGGCGGGCATGGATGGAGAGGCCGTGGGATTCATCCAGGGCATTCCCTGGCTCCCTCTGGGTGGGAGTTGAGTGACCCCTGAGTGACAGCCTTGTGTCCTCAGACAACCTCGAGCTCTCCGCACGGAGCCAGAGTGACCTGGATGACCAGCATGACTACGATAGTGTGGCTTCCGATGAGGACACGGACCAGGAGCCCCTGCGCAGTGCCAGCACCACTAGGAACAACCGGGCTCGGGTCTGAGCACTACCCCACCTTGGCCCTGACCACCCATTCTTATTGGCCCCCCTGACTCCCTCCCAGTGCCATCATTTTGTATCCTATGAGGCCTTGGGGCCATGCAGCCTCGTCCTGAGGGTACTGGTTCCCTTTCTGATGGCTGACAGCTTGTATCTCACTCTTCAGAGTATAGATTCCTCGGACCTGTCTGATGGGGCTGTGACACTGCAGGAGTACCTGGAGCTGAAGAAGGCCCTGGCTGCCTCCGAGGCAAAGGTGCAGCAGCTCCTGAAGGTCAATAGTAGCTTGAGTGATGAGCTGCGGAGGCTGCAGAGGGAGGTGAGGGCTGCAGCCTTGTTGGGTGTGGGGGCCGTGGGGGGCCCCTGCCTGGACTGGCATTTTCTGACATCACTACGCTCGCGGCTGCTCACAGATCCACAAGCTTCAGGCAGAGAACCTGCAGATCCGGCAGCAGGCGGGGCCTGTGCCCACAACCCCCCTCCCCAGTGAAAGGGCAGAGCACTCCACCGTGGTGCCTGCTGGGAGTACCCGCAGGGACCGCCAGGCCTTCTCCATGTATGAACCAGGCTCTGCCCTGAAGCCTTTTGGGGCCCCACCTGGGGAGGAACTCAGCCCGCGGCTACAGCCTTTCCACAGCACTGTGAGCTCCCATGGATCTCAAGGGGTGGGAGAGATGGGTGGGGGCCACTCCAGGACCACCACAACACCCACTGTACCCCTTGCACCCCCAGGAGCTGGAGGATGATGCCGTCTATTCCATGCACGTCCCCAGTGGCCTTTACCGGGTAAGCAAGGCCTAGGGAAGGTGGGTCTAGAAGCTGGGCATAGAGGTGACTTAATGTTCATAGTCCCTGCCCTTACTGAGGGAAAGGGGACTGACCCCGCCCCATCCTGGGTTTCAGATCCGGAAGGGGGTGTCGGCCTCAGCCATGCCCTTTGCTCCCTCCTCCCCACTGCTGTCCTGTACCCAGGAAGGGAGCCGCCATGTGGTAAGGTTTCTAGCTGGTATCCCTGGGATGAGTGTAGTGGTGTTTGGGGTGGGTATGAGGGTATGATCGGGGCTGATCCACGAACTTGAACCTCAGCTACTACCCCTCCCCACTCCAGAGCAAGCTTTCCCGCCATGGCAGTGGTGCCGACAGCGACTATGAAAACACGCAAAGCGGGGACCCACTGCTTGGGTGAGGCACTCTTTGGACTCATCCCCAGCCCTGCTTGCACCCTGGGGGCAGGAGGCTTCAAGGGTCCCACGTCTGTGAAGAGGTAAGTGAAAAGCCCCCCAGCAGGAATGCCTATCTCCCACATCTGGTTTCAGACTGGAAGGAAAGAGGTTTCTAGAGCTGGGCAAGGACGAGGATTTCCACCCAGAGATGGAAAGTCTGGATGAAGACTTGGACCCTGGGCTACCCAGCACAGAGGATGTCATCCTGAAGACAGAGCAAGTCACCAAGAACATTCAGGAATTGTTGCGGGCTGCCCAGGAGTTCAAGCATGACAGGTAAGGGTGGACAGCAGACTCCTGGCTTCTGGGTCACCGCAGAGGGTGGGAGAAGAGCCAGTACTTCACTGTTCCCAGGAACCTTCTTTGAGAGCTCCCCTTATTTTTACCCGGATTACAGCTTTGTGCCCTGCTCAGAGAAGATCCATTTGGCTGTGACCGAGATGGCCTCTCTCTTCCCAAAGGTACAGGGGCCAGAGGGAAGAGCAAGGGTAGGAGAGCAGGGGGTGGAACCGGCAGAGCAGAGCTGACTGCTACCTGGGTGGAGACATAAAACGCTCTGGGCCCTGGTCAAGGCTCCTGGCTGGAATTCCAAGGCCCAGCCTCCCTCTTCCCTTCCTCCAGAGGCCAGCCCTAGAGCCAGTGCGTAGCTCACTGCGGCTGCTCAATGCCAGCGCCTACCGGCTACAGAGTGAGTGCCGGAAGACAGTGCCCCCAGAGCCAGGCGCCCCTGTGGACTTCCAGCTGCTGACTCAGCAGGTGATTCAGTGCGCCTATGACATCGCCAAGGCTGCCAAGCAGCTGGTCACCATCACCACCCGAGAGAAGAAGCAGTGACCACTCCTGTCCCCTCACCCACACCCTGGGACCTCATTGGCCATGGGAGCTGGGCCACTCCAGACACTAACCCCCACCCCAACAGAGCCACTGGCACAAGTGCCCTTAGTGCTGCCTTGCTCCCTGGCAGCCAGGTGCCCTGGTGCCCACCCCCCTGAAGCCCCAAAATGGGGAAGTGGGGTGGCAGGAGCTTCTGTCCCCCACATTCCACACACCTCTCCCCTGTACATAGCACCCTGCCCCTTCTAGCGTGCAGGGGACTGTAAGGCATCACTCCCAACCTCTTGCCCTCCAGGGCACCCTCAGCAAAGGGTCATGGTGGGGACACTCCAAGTGGGGCAGCTCCCCCTACATACACCCCACCCCCATGAGCCAGTTCAGCCCTGTTGGGGGCTGAGCGGGGGCATCCTCCTCCCCTGTACATAGTCTCTGTGGATGGCCCCACCCTGTAACCACCAGCCCCCGCTGCTGCTCTCTTTCTTTAATGCCAAACGGCCCCAACCTGTGTGCTGGGGTCCCCAGCAGCAAACACTGGAAAATTATTTTTTCTCCCACCCTCTCGTCTCTCCCTCCCCCCGACCTTAATTTTAACTTTGTGGTAACTGCGTGTCCCTGCGTGCCTGCGTGAGAGTGTGTGGGGCGGCAGTGCCGTTCCGGAGGCCTGGACCATCTGGGTTTCTGTGAGGGGTGAGGGGGGCCAGAGCAGTAGAACCAGCGCTGGGGGTCAGCCTCCCTCTCCCCTACCTGGGGCCAGGGACTGTCAAAGTAACCAGCTGTGGTCCTACCGGCTGTCCCCTCATCTCTCTCCCCCTCCCCACGTACCCCTTCTCTATGGACTTAAGTGGACGTTACTACTCTCCATCTTTCATCCCCCTCCCTTGTGGAAAGGGACCTTGTGCTGACTGGGTTGGAGAGCTTTAGCACCTGAGCCTGGGGCTGGCTCCCCAGGATCCCCCACTCAGCTGGTGGGTGTGAGGCCAGCCCCCCATTAGCACCTGCCCCTCTGCTGTAGTCCCACTCTGCCCCTCAGGGAGTCTGGGCCACAGTATGGGAAGGCAGCTCTTCTTCCTGTCCCACCTCTCCCCCAGGGGCCAGGCCCTATCTGTGTGGTGGTGGGTGGGCTGACTGTCCAGACATATGTCATGTACATTTGTATCAAAAATAAATAAGTGACCATGGTGTTTTTTCTGATACTTCATGGGGGAAGAGAAGGGTAGCAGACATGATAGGATAAAGGCAAATCTGGCAAAAAGCATGAATTAATGAAGTTGGACCACCAGGGAACCCCACACACACATTGGGAACATTGGTCTTTTAGAAAAACCCACTGCCATGGAGGTAATTCATGTGATTCATAAGGACCCTGTAGCACAGAGATGAACTGTGTGAAGAGCAGTTTGTTTACTCCCCAGAAGTGGCAAGTAGGTTTGAACCGATAACCCTGGCAGTTAGCAGCTCAATGCTTAACCCTCTTCTTTTAGAAGAGGAGTGTGGAAATAACTTAGTGTGTAGAGGAGTTTTGTTAAATGCCCTGGAGTCATTCAGACTCAGGGACCTTGTATAGGGTTTCAGAGGAGTGCCTGGTGGGTTTGAACTGCTGACCTAACGGTTAACAAGTCCAATGCTTATCCTACAGTGCCACACCAGGACTCCATGGAGGTTTCTGTTGGTAAGTGCCACCTAGTCAGCGGTTCCGACTCATAGCAACCCTGCATAGAGTTTCCAAGGAGCAGCTGGTGCGTTTGTCTTGCCAACCTTGTGGTTAGCAGTCCAGTGCTTATCCTACAATGCCACAACCAGTGTCTAAGGCCAGCTTGGCCAGTGCCCAAACACAACATCCAGAACCCTAGATGGAAGGCATCTCAGTGACAAACTCAACTCCAAACTCTACTAAAATAATTTAATTAGAAATACAGGGAATTTTGGCAAGGGAGGGTATTTAACGCCCTTTCCTCAAATAGAGGTAGAAAGCCTTCGCCACCGTGAGGCCAGACTACATCTGGCCGCTAGGGGGCGCCCCCTGCACGCAGTACACGTGGCAGAGGTCGCGGCCTAACCACGGGAAAAGCCCAGCTGCCACAGTGGCAGGACTGGGGTGAGGTCAGTCAGAGCTGTCCCCGTCCGGGCCGCTGTCTGGTGTGGGTGGGAGGAGGGGTCTTCGGCGGGAGCGCTTAACGCGGCGCTGGGGAATCAGCAGCCTTCGCTTCAGCACAGCTAAGGGAAGTGGGGAGGAGACTATCAGAGGAAGGGAAGCCGCGGGGGCGGGGGCGGGAGCGGGGGCGCGGCAGCTCACCAGCCACTGTGTCTTGACTGTCCTCCATGGACCCCCAGTAGATGCTCTCCCCGCGTCGGAAGTTGCGGTGCAGCCGCGTGCAGAGGGTGGCCAGGGTGAGCAGCACCAAGAGGAAGGTCAGAGCCGTGGCTGCCCAGGCAGCCTCCTCTGTACGTGGTGTGGGGCCCCTGGGTGCCCGTGGAGGCACTGCTGCCCGAGGGGCTGAGGAAACCTTGCTGGGGCAGGCACAACCCCCTGGACTGCCTTGCCCATTGGGTGCCTGAGCCTCTGTCTTAGAGCTGGCATTGCCTTCAAATCCCCCTGGCAGCAAGGGGACAATGGGCACTGATGAGGCATTACCCTCCTCACCCAGGGTGTCCAATGTGGGCTTCTTGACCTCCCAGTTCTGTGGGGAAGCAGAGGAGTGCCTTGGAACTGAGGGAGTGGGCTGGAGAGCCAGGGCAGCCCGAAGTTCCCGCCTCTTGGCACCACCTGGAGAGGACTGTCTGGGCACACTAGGTGCTAACTCTGTCCCCAGGGGCCACCAGTTTTGCAAAGCAAAGGCCAAAGCCGGGGCCTGTGGAGAGAAGAAGCAGTTGTCACCCTTCCCTGTCCACTTCTAAATAACCCCTACCACCCCAGCCCCCACTCCCACCAAGCTTGGGTCCAGCGGCCCTCACCTGCACACATCCTCTCCAGTTCAACCGCCCTCTGCCTGGGGTCTGCACTAAGGGAGTGGAGCCAGAAAGGCGGAACAAGGCTTTCTTCCTCTGCTTCCTCCATCGTCTCCTCTTTAACCAGTGGGCAGCCCAGGCTGGCTCTACCCTTGCCATCTCCAGGGCCACCCCCCACGCTGCCAGTACTAAGGGCTATGGGAAAGAGGTAACTGTTAGAGCTGAGACAAGTGGGGAGCAAGCAAGAGGAAGCCCCTGAATGTTCTTTGAATTATGGCATTGCACATGGTGTTGCAGCCTTCACCCAGTGCCTTTCATCAACCACTTACTCGAGCTTGTGTGAGGCTGGGGTCAGGGGCCAGTGAGGGCTGAGCCACACAGACATGGGCCAGGAGGGCTAACTGGATCTTCAGCCAGGGATGGGCACAGGGGTGGTAGAGGAAGCTGACATCCTCAGCCTGGAGGAAAGACGGGGAGACATCAATCCTGGCCCCTCCCCCTTCCTGGGCATTCTGAGTTCTCCTATCCTGGGAGAGGAGCAGTTTAAAGGGACTCCCAGATGGCCCTTCCACCTTTGGGACTCATGAAAGAACAAAGGATTCTGGTCATTGGCAAGCATTCCCTCTTGCCTTTAAGTGTTCTTTCCACCACTCCTCCCATCAATTGCCACCCCCTCAAGGCTCATAACATCCAAGATGTGTGGCTGACCCTGCTGTACTCAGATCACATTATTTCAGCTCTGTTTCTTGGTATCTGTAACGATGGTGCTACAGGTTCCCACTCCAGACTATACATGTCCCCCACTGGAGACCAGCTCTTCCATTTATCTATAGATCAGGTCTATAGATTCAATCTCTGAAGAGCATCCAAAATGGGACACTCAGGGCGCAGGTGCACAATCCCATGATTGAAATTCATGTCTTCAACCATCAATTATTCTTTTATTGAGGAAATCTGGTGCTCAGAGCTGTGCTAGATGTTGGAGATGCCAAAAGAGAACTAACTCTTGGACTCTGCAAGGAATGTGTAGGAAGCTCAGGCAAACAAATAGAAAAGTAAATTCAAAGTAATTAGTTGTTAAATTAGGAGTGGTTAGAAGCAGTATAGGAATTCAAAGGAGATCATGAATAAGAGCTGGTGCTGTCGGGGAAGGTTTCAAAGATTTGAAGCTGGATGGATGGGGTTGGGCAGTGGGAGGGAGCAGAGCTACTTCAGGCTAGGGCAGGCCAGGAGTGGAGGAGAATAAACAGGAGGTACGAAGGTACAGAGGTAGGAATAAGCCTGGCACCCATTCATTATGTGTAAGAGTACACCAACATGATGGGAGAGAAACCAAAGATTTGAAGAGATAGTTGAGGTTCATTAATTAGGACCACCTCTGGTAGCGTAGCAGTTACGAATCGGGCTGTTGACCTCACAGTCAGCTGTTCGAAACTACCAGGTGTTCCGCGGGAGAAAGATGAGGCTTTCTGCTCCTGTAAAGATTTACAGCCTCAGAAACCCTATAAGTTGGAACCGACTCTACCACGGCACATAACAACATTAAGAAAGGCAGGGAAGTCTGACAATAATAAAGGGGGGGAAATAAGGAGTCATGAAGGTTTCTGAACAGTGGAAAAACTTGACAGGGCTTTATGAGGAATAGATTTAAATAGGTGGCATGAAACATATCTTGGTGGGGTGCTATTACATAAGGTCAAAGGAAAATCCAAACAGACAAAAAAGATATCTGACCACTGGCAATGAAGGAGAAGGCAGTCATCCAAGTTGAGCCCAGTAGTAACTCGAGGCACATAGGATCACCACCACCACCACTAAACCCGAGGTATACTCCTTACGTGATACACCTCTGTACTTTTCAAAATGCTGTCACTATTCATTTAAATCTTAAAGGTAGGGACAGTATTAGTACCTTCTCTTAAAGAAAACTGAATCTGACTTCCCACAATCACATGTGGGAGTTGGGGTATGGAATTGTCTTTTTTTTTCTACTATCTTCACTTCCATTTGCAGTCAGTCACCCCCACACAACCAGCTAGCTACTCAATAGCATTCCTGTCACACCATTACAAAGGACAGAGGTCCAGGTCTCACCTATATTTAGTCCTGGGGCTAGGGCCAGATGGGAGACTAGGAAGGAACAGTATCTCTTCCTAAGGGAAGAAATAATGATTGGAGATGGTGAACAGAAAAGTTGGAGGAAGCCTGGGAGGTGCTGACTTTCTTCAAGTGCAGACAACCAAGGATAGGTCCCTGTTTGTACTTACCACGCCTGGGATCATCCTTGTATACGTTACTCTTGGTGACACCTGCACACAGGGAAAGAAGAGAGCGCTTAGAGCAGCTGGGGGACTCTGTGTGGGATAGAGAGATAATAGTAGGCCCCCAAGCATCATGTTGGGATAGAGATGTCGGCGACTCCGGCAGGAAGGACCGGTAGAGGTCCCCAGAGGGTGATGTGAAGGGTATGGCGAGGCTAGATCGGGAAGGGGTTACCCCTTCAGCAGCCCCCTTTCTCACGGTACTCCAGGACTCCTACCTGTGGGGGCAAAGGCCATGGGTCCTCAGGACAACGGGCTCCCGCTTCCTCCGCCAGCCCAGCCACCACCTGTGGGTCCAAGACGCAGAGCTGGGGAGCTGGTCTTAACGAGGGCCCTGCCTGCTCCCTCCCCAGGCCCAGCCCGCTAGGGCGGGACTCCGAGTCTCCAGTCCGCACCACTCCTTCCAGGACTAACTTTCGGCAGTGCGCTTTGGGATCCCGGTAAAAGACCTCCAGAGCTGGTCGTCTTACCTCACTGGGACGCAGGAACCCCACCAGGGCTGCCAGGAGAAAGAGCTGTGGCGAAGGCGGAGGAGGCGCCATCCCAGCCGGTCCCCGGAGGGGTCCAGCCAAGTCGCCGCGCCAGCGAAGGAGCGCGCCGCGCCGCCCTGCCTCTGCGTCCAAGCGCGTCCACGTAGATCGGGCTCGTGCGCGCCAGCCCGCGCGTTCAGACTCCGATTGCACGCGTCCATCCTTCGCCCCGCCTCCGCAGCGCCGTTCCGCTCTCGCCCCTCCTCTGCCTGTCCGAATGCCCGCCCTCAGCAGCAGAGCGTGCGCGCACGCGTGCTAGACCTGAAGCCGGGAAAGTTTTGTAGGGGCGGAACCGGAGCGCATCGCTTCCATCGTGCTGGGATTCACCGCAGCGCATCTCCGAGGCCAGAAACGTGCAGCTGCGAGGAAGGGCGGGAAATGGGATTCCTGTAGACCGGTAGTGCAGGAGAAGGGAGATGGGCATGCTCCCCAGGCAAACCCACTTTATGTGACCTGCTGCTAAAAGAGGGACAGAATCACAAAATCCAAGCTGCGGAGACGTAGAGGGTTCCAGCTCTGTAGCTTCATCTTCTGCCCATCCCACGTCTGCCCTCGCTATTAGATAGGATCGGAACCCTGAGGAGCCTCGGAGGACTCAGGCCACCAACCTCCCAGGCCTAGAAACCCAGGAGGCTGGACCTGGCTTTGTTGCTGCTTTGTTCACCGCAGTAGCCCGACGGGGGCCCGCGGTGCCCAGGGAGACTGGTCACCGTCAGGTGAAGGGGCCTTAGGGGAAGGATGTCCAGACCGCCTTTGTTGCGGGGCGCCAGCTAGGCTGCCCCCTCCCCGGATACCCTTCTCCTTGGCTTGACTCTGAATTTTGAGGAGAGACGGGAACGTGAGTGAAGAGTGAGGATTGCGATACCCAAACTTCAAAACAGAGAACGTGTGGTTTCCGTATCTCCCACATATCCGTGATTTACAAGAGGTGACTTACTCAGCCCCCGGCACGCATTTGCCAGTTGAATTGATGAAGGACTCCAGGACACCACAACCCCATTGCGGGGGAGGCAGGGCACCTGAGTGCGGTTCTTTCCCCGAGCTTATTCTCGGAGACTTGGGACTGTGACTTTTGGGAAAGCTCTTTTTGGCAGGCCGTGTTGAGGATTTCCTTTTTCAGAAGCCAGGCTACTGGGAGAGCCCCACGCTCACGAGCGGGTAAAGCGGGACAGCGCACTGATGTCCCCTGCGCCTCAGCATCCCGCCGCGAACCCGTGTCCGGGCCGGTCTACTGCCCTCGCCCTCGCTAGTCCGGAGTGGGTCACCGGGCCGGGTTATTGCTCAGCTCAGGGACCAAGCAAACACTGAGGTCAGAGAGCATTACCGAGCCGGGGCAAGGAGGCGAGCTGGTGACTCAGGCTGCCACTTTGAGAGTCCAGGAGCCCGCGCGCGGAGTTGCGGTTTATTCACTTCTCGATTTTGCTACTTCTCAACAGCGGCCCCTGAGGGCGAAGCGACCCAGGGTCTGTCGCCCCGCAGATACTGACTCGCCGCCGGCACAGTCCCGCCTTCCGGAGGGCGGTGGCGGGGACGCAGACTCTAATGCGCACCCCCGCTCGCCAAGCCTCGGTCTCCTTGTCTCCCGATTTCTCCTCTGCTCTCACCCCTCTTCTCGGCCCGCTGCCCTCCCCACTCTCTTCCGGCTATCCGGAGCGTCCTCATTCCCTCTCCGTGGTCCCCGCTCCTTTCACCTTCTGTTCCTGCTTGTCGCAATCGCTGTACAAAGGGCCGGGGGCGGGAGTGGGGGGCGGGCTAGAGGAGCCAGGCCCGAACAGGCTGCCTCCCTGGAGCCGCGGCCAATCCGGAGCGCGCCCCCCACACCACCCCCGCGCGGGAGGGCGCTGAGCAGCCACTGGCCGCCGGGCGGATCCCGGGGCAAAAAGGGGAGCTCTCAGAGGGGACGGCTTGCCTCCTGCCAGCAGCCACCCGCCGGGGGCTTCTCCTGTCTCACCATGTCACCGTGGGGAGTCGCCTTCGCCCTGCTGGCCGCGCTTGTCCTGCTGGGACTGATGACCCTGTGGCTATGGCGCCCAAGGAGGTGCGCCGTCGGAGCCAGAACCCTGCCCGAAGCCCAGGGCCAAGACGACACGGAGGTGGAAGACGGAGACATAGTGGACCACATGAGCAACCGGCGGGAGCCGCTGCCCGGCGGGTGCCGTCTCATCTGTAAGCCGTCGGCGCTGGCCCAGTGTTTGCTGCGCGCTTTGCGACGCTCCGCTGCGCTGGAGACGGGCCCGCGCTCCTGGCTCTCTGGGCCCCACTTGCAGACCCTCTGCCACTTCGTCTTGCCAGTGGGACCCGGCCCTGAGCTGGCCCGGGAGTACCTGCAGTTGACGGACGACGGGCTGGTGGCCCTGGACTGGGTCGTGGGACCTTGTGCCCGAGGCCGCCGGGTCACCAACGCCGGAGGCCTTCCGGCAGTGTTGCTGGTGATCCCCAATGCGTGGGGGCACCTCACCCGCAACGTGCTCGGCCTCTGCCTGCTGGCCCTGGAGCGTGGCTACTACCCAGTCATCTTCCACCGCCGCGGCCACCACGGCTGCCCGCTTGTCAGCCCCCGGCTACAGCCTTTTGGGGACCCGTCTGACCTCAAGGAGGCGGTCACTTACATCCGCTTCAGACATCCCACGGCGCCGCTGTTCGCGGTGAGCGAAGGCTCAGGCTCGGCACTGCTGCTCTCCTACCTGGGCGAGTGCGGCTCCTCGAGCTACGTGACCGGCGCCGCCTGCATCTCGCCGGTGCTTCGTTGCCGCGAGTGGTTCGAAGCCGGTCTGCCCTGGGCCTACGAACGGGGCTTTCTGCTCCAGCAGAAGATCGCTCTCAGCAGGTGGGTAACGAACACGGGCCGCAGAGGCACCAGCAGTCTTGAACTGACCTGATATGGAATCGGACAGATTTAGGCCAATTTGGGCAAAGTTCTTTTGTTACACATGTTCTGAAGCTGTCCAAATCCCGTGGTCTAGACAGAATCAGGGGGAAAGGTTGAAAAGCCAAAGATGGACTCAGGCTCACGGTGCAGGAGTAAGGACTCCTTTCTACCCTGGGGCCCCTTTCCTCCACTCAGCTCCACAGTGTCCTAGCAACCTGAGCACCTGTCTCCCTGGGCAGCAGCAGAGGCAATTCACGCCTGACATTAACCACTTAGCTGGTAGCCTGACAAATCAGCAGAGGGCTCTGGAAGCAATTACAACCGATTACCTGTCTAGAATGTTTTCTTTTGGTCTCTGAGGCTGGAAGTGACAGGAATCAGATAGATATTGGCTTTTGATTTATTAGAATTCTTCAGACCTGGAAAATGTTTTACATATTTAAAGGCAGATACTCAGTATTTCCTACTATATATATAAATTTATTTATTTTTAATGGTACCACTAGACAGGGAACCCTGGTGTGGTATCCAGTGCTGTAGGATAAGCACTGGACTGCTGCCAGGTCGGTGGTTCAAACCCACCAGCTGCTCTTGAAAACTCTATACAGAGTTGCTATGAGTTGGAGCTGTCTCGATGGCACTTAACAAGAGAGTGACAGGTGAAACTTTTTCGCTGAGAAGGAAGGCCTGAATGACAGTTCCTCAACAGATAGCCAGAACTGCACTGTGGCTTTCCTAGAAGATGGTCCAATGAGGTCAAAGACTTATGATAACAGGATGGTGGTGATGTGCCATGGAGTCATTTTCAACTCACAGTGACCCTGCACAGGGTTTCCAAGGCTGTAAGTCTTTATGGGAGCAGAAAGCCTCATCTTTCTCCCACGGAACAGCTGATAGTTTCAAATTGCTGACCTTGAGGTTAGCAGCCCAACTTGTAACTTCTACACTACCAGCGCTCCTTTATAACAGGGTAGTATAGCAGAAAGAGCTGGGCTATGGGGTGGTCATACTCACTTGGATTCAAATTCTGAATTCCTAGCAAGTTAGCTAATCCCTCTGAACCTCAGTTCTCACTCCAGTTAAATGGAGTTCATCATAACCACCTACCTCCCAGCGTGGTTATGAACATTACATGAGCTGACAAAAGTGCCTGGCCCTGGGTAGGTGCTCAATAAATGGAAGTAAATTGGGATTTCTCTTCCATCTCCCCTTTTTGCTTCCTATTCTGCAGAGGTCAAATCCAGAGCACAGCAGCATATCACAAAGCGCTGCCATGGCAACCCAGAGCTGGTGCTATCCAAGGGCAAGGTACTCTTGTATGGCTTAATTGCCATAGTTTCCATCCCAGATGACTACTACCAATGCTGATCTTGGGAACGAGCTGGAGGTTAGGGGAGTGGAGAGGAATCTTGGGCCTTTAGGAACTGCACCATCCATGGAAGTTTGGGGTTGAAAACTCAAGCAAACCCATTAGAGTGTTGGCAGAAGACATATCCAAATTCACCTGGTCTTCTTGTCAGGGTGTCAGGTCCTTTCCAGAAAGCAGAAAACAGCAAAGATGTCCCTCTTTCCCAAAGCAGTGGCTTTTAGGCCCCCAGTGGATCCACCCTTTAACTTAGTTATACCCCTAGTTTGCTTCTGTTCCCACCCAGCACTTTCCAGGAATCCATGTTCACAAACGGAGGTCACTCATATCATTGGGGCATGTTAGCTTAAAAAACACCAATAATAAAAAACCAAATGCAACCAAAATCACGTGGTTGGTGATAGGTTTGGATGCGAATGCAACCAAAGATAGATGGGAAGAGGGTTGGATAGCCTGACCCAGTGATTTTTTCTAGGAGGGGCTCAGGAGGCGACAGTTTATAGTAAATTGCCTGTGGAGAGTCCTGGCTTCAGCGGCTCTAAAGTCTCCTAAATGCTGAACAGGTTGTGCCATGGCAAAGGGATTTGGAGGTGGGGAGAGAGGGAGGAATGGCAGCCCATGTTGCCAGATCTTTCCATTCCCTAGAAGGAGCCATTTTATGTGCAGTCTCCTAGTTTGAAATGATGGCTATGAAATGAAAACAAAAAAATATTTTTTTTTAAGACACTATGTGGCCAAAGAGCAACTGTGGCCAGAAGCTGGCTTGTGGGCTGTCATTCTGTGACTTCTAGCAGGTTTGTTTTCTGATTCTTCACACTTTTTCACACCTTCCCCATTAAACTCCTTACTACCAGATACACCACCGCCTTGGAGGACACAGTGGACATGGATAAACTATTCAAGAGCCGCTCCCTACGAGAGTTTGAGGAGACCCTCTTCTGTCACACTAAGAATTTCCCCATCAGCTGGGACACCTACTGGGACCACAATGACCCCCTCCGGGATGTGGACGAAGCGGCTGTGCCTGTGCTGTGTATTTGCAGCGCTGATGACCCTGTGTGCGGGCCCCCAGACCACACTCTGCCCACTGAGCTTTTTCACAGCAACCCCTACTTCTTCCTCCTGCTCAGTCGCCACGGAGGCCACTGTGGCTTCCTTCGCCAGGAGCCCATGCCAGCCTGGAGCCACGAGGTCATCTTGGAGTACTTCCGAGACTTGACTGAATTCTTCCGAGCTGAAGAGAGGATGAAAGGCCTAAGCAGGCGCAGAGCTTCGTTCCTAGGGGGCCGTCGTCGCTGGGGAAGCCTGCAGAAGCGGGAGGTCTCTCCCTCTTCCAATCTGGAGATCTTTAGCTGGAAGCGATCCTATACAAGATGAGACCTGCAAGGAAGAATAGTCCCGGAAAGATGGTGAGAACTGATCGTGGCACACAGTACCATGTTTTGGATTCCCAACTCAGTCCCTTCTCTCCTAGACCAGTCTGTGGAAAGAGAATGGCACTTCCAGATAGCTGGAGCTCAGTTTACCCTGAGCAGAATTCCTACTCATCCTGGTCAGAGGGGCATTCCTGGTCACTGTCTCCTGTCACTAACTTGAGAAGTCAAAGAATTATACTGTTTAAGTTCACATACTTGGAAGAAAATACTCTTACTAGCAGTGACTACAGAGATAAATTGACCCGTGTTATAGGGTAGCTCTGTCCCACATAAATAACCATCTCTGTGACCGATTCTTGAGTTGGAGCCACTCGAAGTAGTAAGGACAGGATGTTTGTGTCTGTTTCACTTCCCTGATTTCTCTCTGTGCTTGTGGCACTCTGCTCTGCTTTATGCACTGCCAACTGTGGAAGCAGGCTCTGAGTTGCTTAGTTGTTTCCGTTTTGTGTAAGGATGATTGTGGTGCAGGGGGACGGGGGCAGTAGGTGCTGTGTGGGGACCAGGTTGGCGACAGCTGACTAGATAGAGTATCAGTGTGCAGTCTTTCAGAGGGAATTGGATTGATCTGTGTTCCCTCCTAGAACCTCACTGGAGAGATCCTAAGGATGCATCTAGAAAGTTCTCTCAAACAAAATCTACGGGTCCTGCTAGATCATAGCTCAAGTAGCCAGACTCAGGCCTTCTAGATGTTCCGTCTGGTTCCAATTCAGAGTGCTCCAGCCAGAGTTCTTTTTCTCCCAGTTGTGACTTCCTGTAATCCAATGACAAGTATGAACCTCATAACTTGGGTGTTTTATGGTTAGCTATCTTTTCTGCCAATACTACTAGCCTCTCCCTTTCCAGATCCAGGCATGACATCTGGGACCAGAGAAAATAAAAGCAGCAAGAAGTTGACTAGAGCTGACTCAGTGATTTATGAATATTTCACAGTTTTGCTTTTTCTGCTCAATTATTCAAAAGGACATCCATGAAATGTAGAAAACCTTCCTCAGTCTGGCCACTCAGGGCTAAGTGGGTGTTTGATTTTATGGGGCACAGTGAAGACTAGAGTATAATAAGGTATAGTATGCAGAGTAATCCACACATCCTGGTTTGGATTAGACCATTAAACAATAAGACATTTGTCATCTGCCATTGAGAAAAAGGGCACCTATTTTGATAGGAAGCTCCATCCTAGCCTCACAAACAGTAAAGCAATTTTAAAGAGGAAAAATATTTACCCAGAGCCACATTCCATGGCTTGGTATGAGGTATCCTGGGATCATGATTTTGGGTCTGGAGAATCCTATCCCAGACTTGTTCTTGATCAAATAGGAAGAAACCCTGAACTTAGTCCAAGGTTCTAAACTGAAATACAAACACCCTTGGAAACCCTGTACAGGGTCGCTATGGGTCGGAACCGACTCGATGGCACTTAACAACAACAACAACATCCTGTTGTGATAAAATATCTCCCTTACCACTTCTTGCTCTTCCTCATACACATTCCTCATTTAACATCCTCTCACCATTTCTGAACAGGAGAAATAAAAAGGAACTGAAATCTAAACAAAGCCATTCTACTGTTGGTAGAAAACCCTTGTATAAGACTTTGTGAAGGACAATTACCGACATCTGGTCATCCCCATAACATCTGTTCCAGTGGAGATTTTCAGTGAGGGTTCTACAGTCCCATAGGCCCCAGGATCTTTCAGAACAGAGTGCAAAATAAGAAGCAGCTCAGTGGTTTTTTTAAACCCAAGGGCCTAAAGGGCTCCTAATAGCTCAACTCTTATACTACTTCTTTGGGCCAGATGCCATAGTATTCTGGTTCTTAAAAATAAAGGCTTTATGGAAATTAGTGGTTGGTTTTCTCTTTCCATTTTTTACAGGGAAGTAATTTGCTAGGGGAGAAAATATAAGTGTAAGCTAAAAAATATTGCTACAAAACATATCAACCTTTATTAAACAAAAATATCAAAATGTGAAGCAATTGTTTCTTGGCATATTCTCCATCTAGGTCTATACTCTTCTAGCCTTCCCCTGAGTCCTAGTTTGGCACTGTAGGATAAGTACCGGACTGCTGCTAAGTCAGCAGTTCAAAACCACTGCCGTTCCTTGGAAACCCTACACAAGGTCGCTATGAGTTGGAACCGAATTGACAGCACTTAATAACTCTCCCCTTAAGAATTCTGAGTGCATTAATTTACACCACAGTTTAGGCATTCTTGAGGTACTCAAATTGTGTTCCTCTTAAATGTTCTTTGAGTTTGGGTAACAAAACATCTGAGGGGGCAAGATTGGGGATGTAAGGTGGATAGGGAAAAATTCCCCAATGAAATTCTCATACGACAACCCATGCTACCCTCAAAGAATGATTGGGTGCATTTCTGAGGAAAAAACTGAGAGCAATGTTCCTGGTCTTTTTCCATCAGTGCTGTTTTCAATTTTCTTAAAACTTCTAATAAGCCCCTATGATCGTTCTGTGTCCTTTGAGAAAATCTACCAAAATTCCCCCTATGGAATACCAAAAATCATTATCATAACCTTCTGAAATGACTTCTCTGCCTTGAATTTAACAGGCCCAGCAGATGCCCTTAGAAATCCTTCTTTTGATTGGATTTTGTTTTTGTTGTTTTTTCAAGGCACCCTCACAAGACTAAGACAAGAGTAATCCCGATAAAACTTGTCTGCAGTCAGTCATTGACCACAGAGGCATGTTTACACACATTTTATTTACAATAAATCTGCATGTATGAACTGGAACCCTAGCACCAATATTTATTTTCCTCACCCTTGTATCTATACATAGCTGTTACAGTGTTAAAATTCTAGTTCAGGTTCTATCAACTCCCTGTCCCCTGAGCCTCAAGAACTGACCTAAATCCTAATGTCTTTCTCCACTCTTTGCCTTATCACCTCAAGCCAGGTGTGCTATTATGCCTCTTTTATCTTCCCACCACTGCTTGAAGGCTATAGCTGAAAAGCCCATTTGCCAAGAAATTTTTTAACTGCTTCTCACTGGTCAACTATCTTGTTATCCAACATTTCACTTTACAACAATAGTAAAAAAAATTCTTCTTTGAGCATTAATGACTTACTTTTAGCAACAGCAAATGCAGAGAAGTGTGAGGTGAGAGCAGCACTGGCTATGATCCTTAAAGTTATGTGTCAACTTGGTTAGGCCATGATTCAGTGATTTGGCAGGTGTGCAATGATGTAATCATCCTCCATTTTTGCACAATGTTGATTTTTCACATAACCACCACCTTGTCATTGGAATTTATGGTGATAAGTGAGTAGTATATGTACTTCCTATTCAGGCAGGTAAGGTTTGGATGACCCTGAACTTCAAAGAATAAACTGGCTTTGCTTTGGTTAAATAGCTAATCAGATGAAACCCGCTGGAGTAGTCCCCAGCCAGACGATTCTGATCGGCCCCTGAAGGAAAGGACAAGTTATGAGTTTGAAGAAGCAAGAAAATAACAAAACCAAAAAAGTACCACAGAATTGGAATTTTACAGATGATGGTTTTTAGGGATTTTCTCAAGTCTCATTTACTTGCTTGTTGTCTTTCCTCTGGTCTTTCACTATTTATGTTGTTGTTAGCTGCCAGCACATTGACCCCGACTCATGGTGCCCTCATACACACAGAAGGAAATGCTGCCCAAGCCTTCACCATCCTCTTAATCAGTTCTGGACTCGGCTGGACTGTTGGACGCCAACTTTGGGGAGTAGGTGGTCAGGTCTTTTTTACTAGTCTTAGTTTGGACAAACCTGTCCAGCATCACAGAAACACACAAGCCTGCATGACAGATGGGTGGTGACTGTGTGAGGCACAGGACTGGAATCAAAAGTCAGGTCTCCCACATGGACAGTGACAGGAAGTCATAAGGAAAAATAAAACAATGACTTATCTCACAAGTAGAGAGACTGAGTCCTTTGTCTCCACCCATTGACTGAAGAGAATTGAGAACCCAAATGGACCAAAATGCAGGAAATAAAGAACTGATACTGAAGTTTCAAAGTTTGAGTTCTATTCTGACCTCTAGGACCATTGATAGTGCTAAGCTGTAACTTAATTCTCATAAATATTTAGCATTTTATGTATTGATACACAGGTTTCCTGGGTACCAAATTCTCTCCATCAGAAGACATTATGTCCTTTCAAAGACTTGAGAAATACATAATACAGTTAGATGAGAGGTCTTGACAGAGGAAGTATGATATTGGGTTTGCATATAACCTCAAAAACCATCCCAGAATCATAATCTCTCTGTACTCCTTTTCTATCCAGACCACAAGATCCTCTTGTCAGTCACTCTTAGTAATGCTAAGGTATCTTCTTTTATAAATGAATTTTAGCATGAATTCCCCTTCCTTCTTAAACATGCTGACACACTTGGCCATTTTGATAAGACTTGGTAACAATGACAATAAATATCTGTGACTGTAAGGACAAGTCACAGGGCTACATCAGAAATCTTCACTAGTTATGTTTTGCAGAAATGAGCTTGCTTTTAGGAAGGTTTGAGAAAGTTGTACACTGGGAGTGTCTGAGTAGCTGAAGATGGAAGATGGCTTTGGGATGCATCAAGTCCCATGACTGGTGGGATTCAATTTAGACTACCACTTGGCATGTATCAGGTGCCAAGAAGCGATAGTGGCTTAGATCAAAGTTCTTATCTGACTGCTAATTATAATATATAATGCTAGTGAGAGCTCAATGCATTGTAAAGACTGCTGGTTGGTTTATGAGCTTAAGGATCAGGAGACTACAGACCTGACCAGGATTTTGGGAGTTGGGAAAGGATATAAATATTTTAATAAAAGATAACCCTGCCAAAGTGACAAGGATTTTTTAAGACATTCAGTAATTATGCTCTAGTCTGAAGGGCCCAGGAAAAATTAAAAGTTAGAAGGCAAAATGAAATTTAATTAAAACAAACAATAAAAGGCACT